ACAGCAATAACTTTTTTCTCTTGATGGGTTCACTTCAATTTTTTTGGCAATTTCCCCAAAAGAGCTGTTTTGGAGAGGCTGTAGCCTGCATCACAGACACTGGTTGAGGTGTATCAATAAATTATTAAAAAAGAAACTAATAATTTGACCGACTGATATTTTTTTAACAACAGGACAACCAACCCCGCCTCCTCCTCCTGCAAAGGTTAATAAGTCAAAACCAGGTAAGTTTATCTTTTAGTTTTTTAAGGATAGCTTGAAAGGGTGTAAAATATATAATGTCAGCACCCTAACACTTGTCTACACTTGTTCACGCCTACAATCCTGATATATTTCTTGAACCCTTGGTTTTCCAAACTGAAGTTATTCTAACCAAAAGAGGTATCCCTTCCCCAGTCAACCATTAATGATAATTTTAGCCCCAGTATTTCAAATGACCCAATTATCTGAACCAATCTACTTCAAAAGTTATTAAATGTTATTAGATAGTTAACAACAATTAGTTGTCTACTAAAGCTAGTAAGCTCTGGGGGTTCAGTACCAGTATAACAAAGGTTCATAAGGTGGGAGTTACAAATCATTAAGCTATTTAAAAGTATTGTACCCTATCAAAGCCATCGTAAGTGTCATTTTTGTGTAATAATATTTTATGAACCTGCCCTTGTACGCCAGTAATGTTTACATTCTTAAATTAATATGCCATGTAGAAAACATCATTGTCTTCTTGATCTTTTAGTTGTCTGTTATGAGCATGACCGTGATGAAATACGTAGCCGTCTAATAGGATGGTTACAGAACCAAGATATATCCCTAAAAGGAGTTGAAGGGTACAAGAATCTCCTCAAGTCTTACTTTCACTTGGTTGATGAAAACGAGGATGGAAAACTTGATGCCACTGAGTTCAGAGAATTTGTTGCAGCAAATCAATCAACTGATGAGGTACTACCCCTTAGTGATATCTGTCTGACTTGGCTTAGCAGATAGGTCTAGGAATTGATGTGGCAATCATCATTATCAAATCTTTGATACTTCATTTCAATATGCCCAAAAATTTCTCTACACTGTTCTGAATCTCAGTCTGATCCCAAAAGGTGGTATATTCAGATGTTGTTAGTGTTGAGAAAGAAACAATCGCAATATAACAGACGTGTTTACGCTGAGTACTTTGTTATGACTATTTGTTTATTTTAAGGACCCAATTAGAATATGACGTAATGTTTTCTTGAACTTTCTATGACAAGATAAGAACTGAATAAACAGGTTTTTGTCTTTGCATTATATAAGCAGTTTCAACACAGTGTGCGCTCTTTTGTCGTGGATTGATCTATAACGGACTTCTCATAAGTTTCTGGTAGAAATTAAATTTCAAGTTGTGTTTAAGAAACTTGTGGCTGTCACAGATGTTCAAGTTGAATCTTAACAGTTAGTGCCCAGTTTCCTGGGCTTTAATTGGGTTCGGTGGCTTCATTCACACCTTCCTGCCACAATAAGACACACTGGGGTCTGACCTAGATAAGTTGAGATCATGATAGTTTTCACGTGTTTAAAATGTAGGTTGCCAGCATGGAAGAGTACACCAACCCCATCCTGCAAAAACTGTCCGCCGATGCTCTGATTTCAATTAGTGATGAGGATTCAGATGGGGAACTAAGTTTTCATGAGTTCATGAAATGTTTGAATCCAGGTGTGTATCAGGATCAGTCACCATACAGTAAATCCCAAATAGTGAATATTAGGAGGCTCATTTCTTTCAAGCAAATTTGATCAGGGGGAGCCTACTAGAGAGGAGGGTTTTATTTAATGTAGAAACACAGTGGTATCAGAGAAAGGTAAAGAACCAGACTGGAGTTATGGTCATACTCTAATTCCTGTTTTGGGTAATGGGAATGGCTGTTTGACTGAGATTTATAGGTGACAAAATTGCTCCGTACTCTAAGTAAGGCAAGTTTTATTGTATTCAATATTATTTTGTGTATTTCAGAAGGAAGTGCTAGGAGAGGGGAGGGAGGGGCTGTGACAAGGAGTGGTTCAGTAAAACTGCATGCAGTATTTCCAACAAAAGAGTAAAGAATGATTATCTATTCTTAATGCTTTTTTGCTTACATATGTCAACGAATGCTTGAATTTATTGCTAGAAGAGATAATGATTACTATTATATTTTATCACTAGTGAGAACTTATCATTTGACTATGTAAATTAATTCATTGTCTAAGCATTAGAATTAGATTCACCAGTTCATACCAATGCACTGAAGCTAGAGGCTTATATGGTGAGAACTGTTTAGCAAAGAAGACACTCAGACATTTCTTCATTGATGCTAATATATATTATGAACAAACTTTTTATCTTACAGAATTCAAACCAACAAAGAAAGGTAGTGTAGTTACTATATTTTTAATGTAGAAAACATGATTCTCTCTCTTCCCTTAAAGGTTTTACTGAGTTTTCTTCTTTAACTGTGAGTCAGTTAAATGCACTAAAAAACAATATAAACTTGCCATGCAATAATATGCAAGAAAGAAGTGTGATGTGCAGTTTACATAAGCAGGTATTTTTGTTATTCGAGTGATTGATTTGTGTCATCTTAATCATTTTAGATTGTGAACTGGATGATGAGGCTTATGAAGATGGCTCAGAGATTCCAACCAGTAATTGTAACACCTGGTAAGACCAACATTGGGAATTTCAATTTGGTATTGAACAGTCATCTAATTCATAATCATTTTTAATATGTAATATAAATCATTATTGAGGTTGCCAATGTTTTGCTCATCATTAAAATTCATCAGGACTAGGCCAAGCCCATCCACTGTGAAAGTCCATGTAAGCTACTGATAAATTTCTCTAGTAGATAGAACCCTCTTAACTGCAAAATATGACATTGTATAGTTCCAGAAGTAATTGTATATAGTAAAATAACTACTGTGTCATGTGAAAAGTTGTATTGTAACTGTTGTGTCATTCCAGTGTCTGTGCTTGTGGGCAGTGGGTCTGTACTACCTTGAAATGTGATGGTGAGTAAATCCCATTATTGTCATCATCATCCTCATGGTTATCATAACCATCATTATCACCATCACCATCACCATCACCATCATCATCATCATTATCAACAACATCACATTTGTTGAAACCAACAATGTCATCATCATTACCTTGAACTTAATTTTCATATATAACAACTTTCGTTTGTGTAAGATTATCTCCAGCTGATGCTGTGAAAATGAATAACGTTTATGAATATTGCAACAGTTTTGATGTGTCCTGCATGTTTGGTATGGTTTTTGTAAACTATCCCTGGCAATCACAGATACAATGGATCAGGAAACAATGAGAAACTTAACACACCAACTGACACTGCTTTGCTTCAAAGCAAATCTTCTTTTACACGCAACGTTCTGTTTCAACCTCTCAGTGAAACAACACTGGCCTTTGAAAAAGGTAAGGAGGCTTGGAAAGGCTGGTTGGAATGACAATGAAAACAGCAATAAAAAGGACAACCAGGGATCCCCCTTGTCTTTAATTTTTAGGGAGCAAGTGAGACACAGCCCCCTGCAGATGTGCATAAGGATGTGAAAAAAAGAGTTCCTGAATTATTTTCGGGAATGTTGCAAAGACAAAGAATGATCAATTTTCATGTACCTGGCTGAAGCGAGAAAAAGTGGAGCAAAGTTTCTTGGGGTTTTATTTTTTATGAACTTTGGTTAATGAATCAAAACCCTCTTCAGACATCTTGTCAAGGGGATATCATCTGGTTCCCCTATGTTATGTGTAACCTACAATCAGGGAATAAGTGAATTAAACTCTGTTAATAATACATTTTCCGATTTTGATTTAAAATCATATTAGCTTTTAATTTTATACCCCATACCCTCATCCTTATGTGCTTCTTCTTCTTTGCCACTTCTCAGGGGGTGAGGGGAATCTGGCAAGTGCTGAGACAAGTGAAGATGAAGTGGAGGGACAGAAATTCATCGTGAATGGTGAGGAAGCCCAAGAGCAGCTTACAAGAGGAGTCATTCAACGTGAAGAAAAACTAATTCATCAACATCAAAGAAAGGTCCTTCCGCTGTTTAAACCACGGCAACACCAGAAGCACAGAAAACGTGGCAAACATGGCTCCAGGGCGAGAAACTTTAGAGATGAGTAACTTGAGGTGTCAAAGACGGTTTAAAAGGGAGAAAAAAACGGCTAAAAAGCAATGCTGTTGCATATCATATTCGTTTTGAAACTACAAAAGCATCTATATCACTTTCACTTAATGTTATTGCATTTTTATAACACTTGAATAAATGTATCTTGTTTATTTGAAACACTTGTTTTTTATTTCAGTATTAGTTATTCCCTCAAACAGCATCAACTCCTTAACTCTTACCAAAAGTAAGCTAGTAACAGAGGCACATTGCAAACTTGTGACAACAAGCAGGGATTGAAAGGCTCTATCACAATTTCTAATGTCAATGTAACTCAGCGATGCACAAGGAACACGCTTTTTATAAAAATTTACGTACCAAGATGTTTCCATACCTGTAGTTCTAATTATGTCATGAATTGGTGTGACCAATTATAGGGCAAATATAAATTTATTTGAGAATTTCCTAATGCAAGTCACCACATCAGCTTGCTATTTCTGTTTGAACAACACATAAGTTAGAGTTATAGGGTAAACTGTTTGACATTTGCAAATCCAAACACTTTTTACAGTGTATCTGGTTTCATACGAAACGTAATTGAATTCATCAAAATGTAAACATCTGTCATCTGTCTTAAACCTCTTTCATTTTTTCTAAAATATATTTTAACTATAATCTCAAAATATAAAATTCAATGTACATTTGTAAATAACACTTTCTAAAGGGACAATGTGTTAACTTAAAAAAATATAGTACAGATTGATGAAACACATTACAGGGGCGGATCCAGGATTTATTTTAGGAGGGGGTGCACTCGTCTCTTGCTCTACTTCAACACCAGTAAACCACATCCTTTTTTTTTTTGCAGAATACCAGTTGTATTAGAAAACCGCAGGTCATCTCAGGGAGGGGGGGGTGCGCACCCCCTGCACCCTCCACCTAGATCCGCCCCTACATTAGGACATATGTGCAATTATCTGTAAACTGCAACTTGCCAGGCCACACGGTAACAACCGGTTTCGCTACGTGTCCAATTCGCTACGTCCTAGTACGCAACAAATTCGCTACATATTACTTTCTGTAAACCACTGAAACTATTCCCTTAATCGCTCTAGAAAAAATTTTTTAATATATTATTTCTCGTTTTTTTAAGCTTGTCCCTCCAAGGGTGCAAGTTTTGGACTTTGCCAATAGGCAGCGAGACGAATATCTAGGTAGCAAACTCGAAGTAGCGAACTTGACAAGTACGTAGCGAAACCGTACTGGCCGATGTTTTCCTACCAACAGTACCGCTAATGTTTATTTAGCGCAAATAGGGTGATAACTTTGTTTTGTTCAGGAATTCTAAACTGTCTTCGATCCCCTGTAAAGTGGAGATAAACACAAGCAACTCCATTGCCACTATACTAGAAATTCACATTCTATTTCAGTTTTGCACTGATGCTTTCATAGACGTCACCCTTGTCGAATCGTAACGTACTCGAAAATAAGTGGCTTTATCATTTAATTTTTCCAGAATTTTTAAATCCAGCTTTGAAATTTCCATTGCAGTTTGACGTTTAGCCCTTTAAGGAGTGTAAAGGTTTAGCGCTGTGGAACCTATTCAAAGACGTAGTAGTACAGGGTCAAAAGATGCACAGTCACGTAACCACTATTGGCAATAGCGAGACTCATCTGTTGCTATCGTTTGCTTCTTTTACTGCTTGGTTGCATGGAGAAGGGGTCGTCTGAATCCTCACTTTCTTCCTGCAGGTAATAAAGGAAATGTGGAAATTAAGTGGAGAAAATTACTTAGATTGGCTCCTTTAGTTTTCTTGGGCGCCTAAGTTCATAGACAAGACAAGACAAGACAATATTTATTTGGATCTTATACCACCTGGTACAAAAACTGTTTTCGTATCACAGGGTTTGGAAGGGGGATCCCTGATTCAGCATCCCTGCTCCTTTTTCACGACCATCCCGCATCCCGCATTCCGAAATTCCACTTAAGAAATAGGAAGGAAACTGGGCCGAGTTAGCTTCGCAAAGACTTCTGGGATTGTTACTGGGGACGCGCCAGTTTAACGCGCCATTCAGCTATTGGCTAATTTGTTCCCTGTAGCAGTCCCAGAAGTCTTTGCAAAAGTTAACTCGGCCCAGTTTCCTTTTCGTTTCTACAGTGGCGAATATAGTCGTCTTTCCTCCGCGTCAAGATTTCGGCGAATCCCGCGTCCTGACTAAACTGCCCTTTTGGTTGTTCGATCGTAGACGCAACGCCGAAAAGCGTTACAATGTGTGTCCTTTCAAACGAAAATACATGTTGACACACTATACTTACAACGGTTCCTTGCTAGCGAGAAATAACATAACTTGGTTTAAAAGAACGAAAAGAAACTTAAGCTTACATCATCAACAGCAAGATTTACAACAGTTTTCCTTTGTCTTCCTCTCGATGACTTCTGAGACTGATTAAGTCTGTAAAAAGGAAAAAAATTAATGCCAGATTTGTAACGTGAACTACAACTGTTTCAACGCTGGGTTTCGCTTTCAGGTACAGGGTAAGTGTCAAATTAAAAATGTCATAAAAAGGCAAAAAACTTGGGCAGCATAAAATGACAACCCCTAAGCATTCCCCCAGCAGCGAAGCCACGCGGATGCCAAAACACACCATTTTGTCTTATTGATTTTAGAGGAAAGGGGAACAGGTCGAAATTCCGTCTATTTTGTCCGAGATCGAAGCTTGCCTTGAATTTTTCCGTATTTCAATAGTATAATTGCAGCCTATTCTCAACATGTGCAGCAAAACCAGAAGAATTTACTACTGCAGTGAAACATTCATAAATAAAGCTGACACCCATGAAACTATTTAAAGAAAAATATGAGAAGAAAAGTTTGGGACTCATTGACACTTCTACTCACTACAGCCTACAGAATGCCCACTTAATATGGAGTCTTTTTAATACAACTTCCGTCTACCACAATCATCTAGTTTATTGTTATAAATTAAATTGTTCGTTTATTATCAGGCTGAAGTACTTACTGGGATGTCTTTGTCTTCTTGAAAGAGGATGACAGAGGGACATTAAATTCATCATTGTCATCTTCATCAGAAATTACCTCCTAGATTATTAAAGATGAATTGAATATTATGTTCATTTTAAACCGTCAAGTTGAGACAGGCGTCTGTTTTGCTCCCATACTTCAGCAACATGAGCAAACTTTTTTTCATGAAAAAATATTATTTAAGGTTCGTCAAACAATAAACTAGACGTAGGAGGCAGGAGAGCTTGGTAGTCTGACTCGATGGATTTTTATGTAGTCTTCCCAGCTAAGGAAGCGTGTGTGGCCGATCGGTTAACATCTCAAACTCCAGATCTGGAGGTCCGGGGTTCAAGCCTCGCCCGTCGCGTTGTTTCCTTTGACAAGGAACTTTACTTCAATTTGCCTCTCTTCTCCCAGGTGTATAAATGGGTACAACCCTGCGATGGACTAGCAACCCGTCCAGGGGGAGTAGCAATACTCCTAGGCATGCTTCATACTAAGAAAAGCGGGATAAGCTCTGGCCGTTTGGGCCTTTGGCTCGTGTGCACCTTTACCTTTTACCTTCCCAGCAGAAAATCTTCGCTCTTGTCAGTTGCAAGACTAAGAGTGCAAGATCTCGGCAGTCTTGACCTACTTCCAACTGCTTGGTCAGGCTTGTAAACAACCAACTGTTTTGCCTGCTGTATATTGGGATTTCTTGACTTATAACTTTTTTGGGAAATATTTGTTTCATTACAGCGATTTTCGTTTAACCTTGAATATTCATGGGTTTACCGTACAGACTCGAGTGCGTGTGGCATTTTTGGTTCGTTCAACAAACACGGGACGTATTTGCTGCTGAAAAGTAATTTTCCACACGATAGCCCTTGAAAACAGCCGACATTTCGCAACGCCAACACTGGTTTCCTGGCGAAATGAAGTCTGAGAAACGAGCGCAGAAATTCCATACTGATGACGCATCCTTACAAGGATCTGGGTAGTGCTTCTGATTGATTGAAGCAAGTTTCCCTCGCGGCACGACCAATCAGGAGCACTACCCAGATCTGGGTAGTGACGCATCATCAGTATCGAATTTCTGCACTCGTTCCTCAGACGTTACTTCACGGGAAAACCAGTAGAGTCGTCGCGAAGTATGGGCTGTTTCTTCAGGCTAGAGACAAGCTGGGCTGCCGACATTTGGACAATCGAGCGATGCTTTGTGTACCTTAGGGTTTCTATTCTGGTAAGATGATAAGTCCAACTTTTGATCTTTTTGTTGGCCGATAAAACAAATAATAACGACTCCTTAAAGAAACCATTCTTCAAGGTCAAACGAAAACTGCTCAGGTCCTCACCAAACCCTTCAGGAGAGTGAATAACATGTATTTACTGTAGTTAAGAATGTCTGCTTTACCTCCACCACATCACTCGGTTGTCTTCGTCTTTTTGATGATGAGACAAAGGCTATAGCAGAGGGAGGGAGATACTTAATTAGTACATTCAAGTAAAGGCAAGTAAAACATAATAAGCTTAATTTGCAGGTGCAGGTTAGGGTGCGAATGAAGTCGTTAGCTGCAATTGTTTTTCTCTCTTAAAAGGACATGTGTCCAGCCAAGTCATTATTTGGGTCAGACAAAACAAAAGTCAATCAAGGACGCATCATGCGTCTTTAAAAATTGTGCTACGAACACGAGAGATTTTATTTGAACAAGCGATGTTACTGCAATAAAACAACTACGTTACGTTTTCCTGAGTTTCCCATCTAAAGTAAGTATAAAACTTAACCATAGTAAAGATTGGTGTCAATCCTTTCAGTCTGAAGTCCGTTCAAAACACAGGCATTGTCCAATGACTGACAATTATTTATAGCCCTGGGTGTGGTCAGGACCATTAGTAACTGGGAGACGATCGCGCTTACTATTTTTTAAAACTTTTCATTGGCATCGCAGCAGGAGCCTCTGTAGCCTGCGAAAACAGCCGTTTCTCCTCGCTACTCGCCCAGCGGCGATGACCGAGACTGCCCCGCCCCCCCTTATCTCAGGGTCTGGATGACCGGCCCCCCTCCCCCCTACCCCTTATCTGAAGGTCTGGTTCCGCCACTGCATTGTGTTGGCGACGCAGTGGTGAGAGCACTTGCCTCCTACCAATGAGGCCTGGGTTAAAATCCCGACGCCGACGCCATATATGGGTTGAGTTGTTGCCAGTTCTTGTCCTTGCTCCGAGAGGTTTTTCTCTGGATACTCCTGTTTTCGTCTCCCCTCAAAACCAGCATTTTCAGATTACAATTCAATCTGGAATGCACGGTTTAACGAGTTCCTGGGCGCTTTCCATTCCGAAAAAATTCCGGTTTGAAATTTGGGAAATTTCACGTGCCCAATGGAACGATACATTTAGGTTGAACGGACCCAACCCGAGCCACCGCGCGTTTGGTTATTGTTCCTATAAGCAGGATACGAAAGAGCGGTACTGGGGACAACAATTTTGTCAAATGGAAAGGGACATTTCGGTCCGACCGACCGAAATGACCAGACCGGTTAAAGCGGACCACCTTCAAAGCTGGTCCCATATACTCCGGTCGGAACAAACCGAAATGATCCTTTCCATTTGATCTACCGACCGAAATTTCCGGAGTTTTGGGTTGAATGGAAAGCAGCCCCTAACGACCCCCTAAGTCCCTCGTGAGTGAACAAATTACAATTTACATCTTTTACATATTCACTTACAGTCCATAATAGTCCGTGAAGTGTTTGCTCCTGCCTGCGATGCTCCTCTTCCTCTTCCTCGCCCACGACCTCTTCCCCTGCCCCTACCCCGACCACGCCCTTCAGCTGTACCGCTTGAGGATGTGTTGCCAACATCGCCACGACTCTTTTTTCCTGTTGACACGAAGGGGAATGTCTGCATTAAGCTGAGGCACCATGACGTGAATAGAGGATATTACACGGCCGCTCGGAGATACGAAACTTCGCTTCGAATGTTGAAAAATATTTCGCGCGTGAGCGCAGCGAAAGATTGAACTATTATAGAAGACGAGAGGAGACATTTGTATCTCCAAACAGCCATGTAATGTTCCGCTTATTTAATTAATTATATAAGCACCAATGAAATACCAAACCATTTAACTTCAATGTCATTTTTTCTGCGAAGGACGCTATTTATTATGCAGCGATAGCCACGGTGATCTGTTTACGTGTGAAGATATCATATTTTCATTGGTGGTGGTTGTATGATTAAGTTATTAATTTTGCTGCTGATGGCTGCACTGCATGAAAAGCTGTTTCTCACGGCTTGGACCAGCACTGTTCTAAATATAATCAGGAAATCTGACTTATACACCATTAAATCCCTTCAAATAAATTGTTAACGTTACGTTCTCTTGCTAAATTAATGCACATTGATACGTGATGGATGGTTACATACAATCAAACCTCTCGTAGGCAAGCAACCTACCCCACTAAAGTAAAAATTCTTCCCTCAATCTAAAAAAAGTTCTTTTACCTCCTAGGGTCAGTTAAAAAAATTTCTTACTCTGAGCCATACAGTCGACTCCCGATAACTCGAACCGAAATCGATTTCCCATGGATTTCCTTCATACATTTACTGTAATTTTACCCTCGGTAACTCGAACCCTCGAGAACTCGAACCTCCCGCTAACTCGAAGTAATTCTTCTTTCCCTTCAGATCATTGCTATATGTAAATTTACCCACGCTAACTCGAACCATGCTTTAAGCGACTGACAAGTGGAAAAAAGTGTACTAAAGTCCGAAACATTGAAATTATTTTAACAACCATGTATTCTTTGTCTTTACTTTTTTGTCAGTCCAGTTTAAATACAGTGTCCAGCACTGTGTATTTATCAAGCTTTGAAGTGTTCATGTCACTTGCATTCATTCTCCATCCCATTTCCTCCTTTCTGGTTATTTGCTTCGTACTCCCGATAACTCGAACTCCTGCTAACTCGAACTGTTTTTGATTTCCCTTGAAGGTTCGAGTTATCGGGAGTCGACTGTAGTTGAAAAAGGACGCGTTCTTGTGAGCAGAGGAAAAGTAAAGTTTCAAGCTGTAATCGCGAATCAGTGAGGATCAAGACAAAGACATTAAAAAATTTAGAATCACAAATGCAAGGCGTATTTCTTGGGTGTTATCGTTGGAGGTCTATTCACTACATCAAAGCACACAGTTGTGTTGATACCTTTGCTTGTACTTGGTACAGCAGCTGATCTGTCGTCATCACTGCTGCCACTCATATCATCAGCATTATTATTTTCATTTCTTGATTGGCTACTTCGGGATTCTTCCAGGACCTGAAGTTGATTATAAAAACAATTGAGGATATGAGTTCTGAGCTGGAAAACTACTTAATACGGATAGACGTTTAGGTCCTGGAATTTTACCTCTACTTAATACTTGTCACTAAGAAAATCAATTAATCATGTTTCCTATGAATAGTCTTCCGCAAAACTGGATGAAAAGCCTCTATCTACTCGTGAACATTTAACTTTAAACAATAACGGTTTCCACATCATGTACATACAATCCAAGCAAGTCATCAAATGACCGAGCCAGAGTGAACATCGTTTTTCAATCATTTTTTACCTTTTTTATAACAACAAATGCAAAACTCGGTAGTGCAAAACAGTTTGAAAACAGATCGAATAATTCGTTCTAATCGCCCAAACTTCATCACGCGATTTAAGATGACATTCGGTTACTTAACAGAAAGGTCGTTGTAAACGTAATTCCCTAAAGAGAACTATAAATGGCTGGAAGGTCCAATCCCTGGTCCCTATTTAGAGACATCCTCGTTCCCAGGGCTTTTTCCCTTAAAAAATGGGAGGGGCGGGTAAAGGCCCTGGCATCGGCAGGTCGATTCTTCTTTCTGATTGGCCGGTTAAAATTTAATAATTTATGCAATTTTTCTTCTTGTCAAGACTTTCAACTGATCTTCTATTATGGCATTTAAAGGGCACACGACGATTATGATATTTCCGGTTTTCTTAACGGGAAGAAAGTATGGTAGGGGATGGAACATCAGTGACTTCCCAAAACCTGTAGGTAACACCGCAATGACGGCTTGACCCTTGAGAATGTACTCAAGACATTTAACTTGCAGAGGTTTTAAATTAAAATGAGGAAATTGACCGCTATCCAAAGCAGTTTTAACTAGTCGCAGCACTTCCAGGTAACCTAGAGGCTTGCCCTTCGTCTCGCTATTCATTGCCACCATCTTGAATTTATCAGTTCATGCTAATATATTACACCCACAATTTCTGGGTGTTTTTTTGTCATGTGACCTGCCGATGCTAGGGCCTTTTCCCGACCCTCCCATTTTTTAAGGGAAAAAGCCGTAGAAACGAAGTTGTTCTAGAGAAGGTTTTCTTTGTTTGATAGCGATGGCTCCCTTGACGTGGCACTTCAGATCTTGTTATGACCCGTTTACTGGCAGTATTCAAAAAAGGCAGAATAGGTTTCATTGGATACCTTTCTTATGCTTTCTGCATCCTCCTCATCATTGTCGTCTTCTTTCTTCCTAATCTCTTCTGTATGTTTACACACTTCAGTCTCAATGTTCTCTTCCCGTACATTTTGCCTCTTCTTCAAGTGTTTCTGTGCTTCATCAAGCTGCCACTTTACAACAGTCGATATGGCATCTCTTTCGTCTTTTTCAACAAACTCACGAAGTGCCTGTGCCATTTTTCCCTCTGTTAAAATGCGCAGCTCTAATGCCTGAAATAACGATCAACAATTTTTATTATTCATTTGAGCCTTTGGACATCGTCAGAGGGGCTTACCGTATTCCCTTGAATAAGCCCTTATTCGACGGTGTCGCTTATTGGAAGGCGAAGTTTATTGGACATTGGACACGACAAAGAGTTATTTCAACTACAGTATTAGTATTCACCGTATTAAACTAAAAAAAAAATAACGTCTTTAGATTTTGATTATAAGCCGCGGCGCTTATTCGAGGGACGCAGTTATCAGGGTCGGCGATTATTCGAGTAAATACGGTAGGCCTAGTTGAGATGCCCAACATCTCATGTTACAAACTTAATCCAAATTCAGGACGACAATCCAGTTTGGGTCCAAGATTTTTTTCTGAAAGTCGAGCACTGTACAGCTGTGCAAAGAAGTCAAAATGTTAGAATAACTAAAAATGAGTTGACCAATTGTAAGTGACGACGTACATTATCTTTCGAAGTTAAGTATTCTTTAATCAAGTCTTCCATTCTGATACTGTCCAGTGCCTCTGGGCGGAACTGAGCAAATCTGCTGTCTTCTTTGCCCTTCTTGTCTACAACAGAAATACAGAAACAGAGACCCTCTACAGCCTCCTCCTCAGGCGCTTCGTTTTTCGTATGGCAGAGGCGAGCGCGAAACGCGAGTGACTGGTAATGAACTGCAAGGGACCATAGGAAGGGTACAGACGGCAGGCGAAGCGACGTCTCGCCCGCTGTCTCCTTCCCGCCTTCCTTTGCGCGCTCATTTTCATCGAAAGAGAGACGTCCGGGTACGAGGCAGAACCCTCTACCTTAATCAAGTCCATGTCAGTTCATCGTTTCTCATATGATGTTTTACTGCCCAGCATCTGCTCGCATCACTGTGCTTCCAATTTGTAACCTTTAGTATACCCATTAATGAAGAAAAGTTGAAACATTTATTAAAAATTTCTGGCACAAGGAAACTAGTTTTTGTTGTTTTGTAGCATGCTTAATAAAAACTATTGAAAATTGCAACCATTAGTGACTATGATCTAAAACTAACACTCTGATAAGTAGCAGTACGCTTCGACTTGTGCGGTGGTCTAACCCCTTACCCTTTTATACACCATTTTTCACGAAAAATTTACCCTAATGCATACGGAAGATAACTTTTTACCATGGGGAAAGTGTATAGAACCAATCTAGCAACGTAGGGAAAATTGACGACATTTAGATGACAGAAAATTTATCCTTAGTTAGTGTTTTTTATTGCAAAAGATCTGTTTATAAAGCCATAAAATTCATCTGTCTTTGTTAGCCCTTTTGGGCACTTTCACAGACCCAAATGACAGATTTCCCTTATCCTTTATATACTTCAACGAGTGAAATCCCTACCCTTTCATATACCTGACGCCTGAAAAAGATACCACTTTCGAGCGGAGCCTCCCTGTATAGGCCATCAAAGGGAGTCCCCCCGGAATCTACCGCCATTCCACCTCAACCTCTGATCGGTGTATCTACGCCCATGTAGATGTAACGATGGCGCGGGGGGTACTTGGCTAAATTTTTGCCGGGTATGTGCCGCTGGGATCTCAGAGCCCCTACCCCATTATAGTCTTTTCTGTGACCAATTATAGACTCCATCTTAGTCACTTTGGGGCAAATGTGTAATTTTCACGATCCCAACTTAGTCACTTTCTATTTTTATGAATTGAACCATTTTTTAAACTGAATGAAGAACACTTTACTTTTCACCTACAGTGCAAACATTCTGGTACGTTTGCTAACCGTGAATATGAAGAACTGTTTTACCCCAAAAAATCCGAAAATGTGCGACCTCATTCTAGTAACTCTTTTGAAAATGCGACCTCATTATAGTCAATCCATTTGTTAAAATGCGACGCCATTAGCCTCTTATGAGGAAGTACCCCCCTCCCCACCCCCCTGTAACTGTGGTTAAATTACCTGTTTTGGTGGGTGGTTTTTTTCTCTGATAGAAATGTAAAATATCCTTTGGATTAGCCACTCTGTCAACAAACTGTTGTCCAAATCTTCTAATATTGAAGGACGAAAAACCACCACTATACTCAACCTGTTAACAAAAGAGGAAATGAATGGGAAATGAAATACTGTCGAAATTTTGCATAACTCTAAGAAACGCATGTAATCTATTAGGCCCGGTTTAGACGCCAAACGTTTCATGAGCCGAACCTAATTCGAATTAAGGCCGACCCAAATTATTTAGACCGGCTGAATTGATTCAGACTTCCAATCCAGCGGAACTAAATTCAAAATGAGAAAAATATTCATTTTGCTTACAAAATACCGTAAAATTCCGAAAATAAGCCTCTCCAAATATAAGCCCCCCAAACCGGTAACGCAAAAAACCCTCCGTTAAATCGCCCCTTCAAATATAAGCTACCCAGGGGCTTGTACTTGGAATATTGCCCTCAAATACAAAGGTAAACAAAGCCAGAATGGTAAAGTTACTTCCAACTATAAGGCTAGCCCAATCGATTTTGAAACGCAAATTTCCCTCCGTAGATAAGCCCCTCCAAAAATAAGCCCCTCAAAAAGGGTCTTTGAAAAATATAAGCCCCGGGGCTTATTTTCGGAATTTTACGGTACATCATAAATCATTCATGCATTTGGTTCGCGTACATGAAAAGTTCGGCGTCTGAAACAACGCTGTTCCAAAGTCCATCCAAAGTGGAAATTCCCAGCCGGCTAGGCGGAAAGAACGACAGAGCTGTTTCAAATTGAAACTGGCATTCCTAATTGCCTCAGACACCGAACTTTTCATGTACTTAATTCAATTTAGGTTCGGCTCATGAAAAGTTCGGCATCTGAACTGGGCCTTAGAATCAAACTACCACTTTCTTGATATCTTCAAACAGAAGCCTAGATATGGGAATGCTGATATTTGGCTTAAGACTGTCAACATAAGTTTAAAAATGGGTAAGATGTCTAGTTTGCAAAATTTGCAAACGAACATTCACATGATGTCTATAATAAATTTAAAGGTAATCAACATTCTTTGCTAGGAACATAGCTACTGATGAAAATCTTGCAAAATTCAATTTCGATAACGCAATAGATTTCAATTCATATTCATGAAAGTCATTAAAGGGGCCGTGTCACGGCAGTCCAGCTCATTTTGCTTAACTTTGCTAATTATTCGCCCTCAATCGCTGTGGAACTTAAAGTAAGCAAAGAAATTACATGTAAATGACAAAATCAGAGATCCTGAGCAGTATTTATGAAGTTGCAAGCAGCAGGGATCAACTTTGAAAAACTGTTAGGCTGAACAGTTTTCAAAAACCCTAATTTCAATCCGTTTCAGTCTTCTTCAGTTTTGCCCATCCGTGGCATCTGTTGTTTCTGTTATGTTATTTTAACCTTCCTTTCAAGTTTTAAGTGGTTATTTTTTATGTTTCTCTTAATTTAACGGGCATTTTGTAATTTCCTAACTTGGCTGAATTTCGTGACACTGCTCCTTGAAGCTAAAGGTCAACAACATCCTGCTAGACCTACGTACACGGCTACGAGACAACCTAAACACTGAGTAAAAACAAAGGTTGGATCATTATACGTTACTGGGAAACTAACACCTACCCCTCCCCTAAGCCAACATTTTGACCCAAGTGAGAAGCAAGTGTTGGTGTTGGCTTAGGTAAGGGGTAGGTGGGCGGTTATCACTGTTAACGCTGTAAGCCCCAGTATCCACATACAAATTCTCCAAACTGATCTCCATACATTTCCTTTAAGAATGAGTTGAGAGAATTTGATAAAAGATCAAGGCATTTTTACTTGGGTGATCATTTTAATAATTCTCATAACTTATCTGTTGACAATGTATGGATATTGTTAGGAGAAAATTCATCTTGGTCACTATTGGGACTTAAAGGGTTAAGTCTGGATCAGAGATTACAGCCATCATACCCGTATCCTTATCAGAGGTTTGTCAGGTTGTCGTGGATTGCCACTGTGTTCTCTCTCAGCCTTTTCAATCAACTGTTCTACCTGCCATGAAGCAGAAACAAGACAGTGAAACATACAGGAGATCTACATTAATTATTAACTGCAGCTACGCTTTTTAGCCCTGGCTAAATCTATATACCGTAAAATTCCGAAAATAAGCCCCTCCAAATATAAGCCCCCCAGACCGGTAACGCAAAAAACCCTCCGTTAAATCGCCCCTCCAAATATAAGCCCCCCGGGGGCTTGTACTTGGAAAATTACCCTCAAATACAAAGTAAAACAAAGCAAAAACGATAAATTTACTTTCAACTATAAGGCTAGCCCAATCGATTTTGAAACGCAAATTTCCCTCCGTAGATAAGCCCCTCTAAAAGGGCCTTTAAAAATAAGCCCCTCAAAAAGGGCTGGAAGTAGACAGAGATCATACTCATAGGAGCTGGTGGAGATATCTCGCCCCCGAATAATTACCACCCAGATAAATGTTAAAGTATTTGACAGCATTGTTGTCAAAATGTCACACATAATTTTGGCAGACACGAGTCTCGAATGTTTACCAGGGGCACCTAACGACGGTTTCCTCCAAAGTACATTGAAAAACACCATTTAGGCTATCCAAAAAGTACTTTTAGAATTTAGAAATGAATTATAAGCTGCGCTACAAAATTTTTATCTGTTCGGTCATCCTAGGGGAACTTAAGTCTTTTCGAAATTACAAGGGCTTCAGTATTAATTTCCCGAAAATTTTAGGTGCAATTTCACATTTTACGAAGGTGAGAATTTTCCTGATTCCTCTCTCCATTACATTTTAGAATCCGAAAATTTTAGGTTTCCTTTTTCTAAGAAAAATAGTGCAAACTGGGTAGCAAAATATGAAAAATTAAACTTCAGAAAATCGTAGAGAATTTATTAGACAAGCTTCGAAAATTCTACATGAATGGAACGTTCATCTAGAAATTTTTGGCCGCCCTCAAGTAATAGAAAATAGGCAATATTTGCTTCTCCAAACAGATATTGTACAGAAAACAGTCATCGGGTGCTTACTTACTTTGTTGACTAAGTAAGCCATCACCAACTCTTCCTGGGTGGGGTCAATTTCAGTGTTGCTTAAAACTACATCGTCCATGTAGAAAGGGCGCACAGTCTCCAATCTAATCTTTTTTATTCTGAAATTGGTGTCCTCTCTGATCTCCAAAATTCCAACATGTCTGTAGTGAGAAAGATCAAGTTAAGAATCTGTTAAGAATCTCAAGTCCGATTTACACTTCAGAAAAAACCAGGTCTGGGCCCATTAAAAAGTGGTCCGGACCAATTTTTTTAACCGTTTACACGGGTAACAATCAGGTTAGGCTTATGATTGAAAAGTGCATAGTACACATGCGCGAAACCACCATAAAGCACGACAGGCTCACATGAAGACGATGGTGCGGAACGAAGATGCGTTTACAGAGCGCTTTCGAACAGTAAAAGGTATCGGGACTCGTTTTTTTTCGGTTTTGGGGCCATAGCCACCTATGACCCCAAAACCAGAAAAAGGCGAGTCCGTATCCATTTCATGAAAACATGGCAAGGAAGGTTTACAAGGCAAAAATAGCTGGTCCGTACCAACTTTTTTATGGGCCGGCCCCATTTTTTTCTGTAGTGTAAATGGGGCTTCAAAGTTGTAAATGGCGGTTTAATTGGTATCAAAACGTCAAAGGATTGTTCTGAAGTGCAGCAATGACAGCTTACTCTACCTAAAAAGAGCAACGTGGAAAAATTTAAAAAGGACCCCATACATCTCGGCCAAAAGGAAACCTCAAAACTTTGATGAGTATCTAGGCCAAAAGAGCTGCAAATTTCAAACGCTTCAGCCTTGGTATAAAATATGCCGTAAGTAGTCATACATGATTTCATGAATTTTTGAGTGTAAAGCTTCTTTTCACTCATAATTTCAAAGGAGAAGTTCATTCTAATGGTGCATTTTTTCATCTTCAGTTGCCAACAAAAACAAATACTGCAGACTGATAAGTCTACTCAGCCAAACTTCAAGATTGTTTACCAATAATATTTTGAAGTAAACAACGCAATTATGTATTCAATTTTCCTGCCAAACTTTACCTTCAACTCTTTGAGATCATGCATATATTACCGGGGTTAATTTGTTGCTATGAAGTATCTTCCAAGGTGAAAGCATCGATTTATATACAATTGTTGTCAGGGCCGTTGCCAGACAGCAGAACAAGACGAGGCAAGTTTCGAGCGCCAAAGGTGCTAGCCGCTAGGGGGGTCTGGAGGCATGCCACCCCCCCCTCCCCCCGCCAGAAAATTTTGAAATCTAGAGGCTCCGAAACGTTCTTGTAAGCATTTTCCGTGGCATTTTTCTTCAGAAAAGTCAATCTTGGGCAAGTGTAGAAGTTCACTTTTTTATTGCTTAGCGATACTGGTGCCAAGTTAATGACCATCTGCATTTTAAAGAATTCAAATGTTGTAACACGTATTATAACAATAAAATGAATCCACGAGAGTAGCCAACGTTTATGGATTTTATACTGTAGATAATTAGGAGAAGTCTTAGGTAACACTTTTTTTGAAGTTAGTTCGTAGATGATATACAGAATCATGCTCACTTATCAATTATCTGTTTCGATACACTCTTGCTTATGTTCTTCAACTTTGAGACAGCCATGTCATAATATAGCCATCTCTTAAACTTGTAGGACTAAGAAGTCATTAACTTTCACGATTAAGAGTAGTTCACTTCTCCCTTAACAGTTAGAAAAGCGAAAAGTTTCTTGTCCGTCGTTTAGAGTGGTTTTCGTTTGAGTGTCGTAAAACCAAAACCAAAGTAATTACTCTGGCCAATCACATAGGACACAGACAATACATTGAACCAATCAAAACTCGAAGTAATTACATGTGGCTGACGCAAAGCGCGGGAAAATGCATGCGAGCGCGTCACAATTGGCTTTGGTTTTACTTCTGATTGGATGAAAAGGTGGCGCGAATCTTTTAAGCCAATCGCATCGTGTAGAAAGTGCAAAACCAATTACTTTTCGACACTCAAATGAACCGCTCTATTCTTTACTGAAAGCTAAGGCAATCCGTCTGGGGCCCGAGGCATCCCATCTTTTTAAAACAGAACTACTGTCAATTTCCGTTGGTTTATGAATGTACGCTAAAGCAAGCTCGTTCAGCCTCGCATTAGCCATGCTTGTTCGAGACCAGGTTTTCAGCTGAAGTTTCTTCAAAAAAAAAAAAAAGGCCAAAAAATCAAGATGAGGCAGTCTTGCTTCATGCTAGCTACGGCCCTGGTTGGGTTTCTTTAGAGAGGAATTTCATTCAGTTTGTAAGCTTTTTGAAAGCTGAAATTTGCCTTTAACTGAGTAACCTTTCTCTGTAATAATTACTTTGTTAAAAAATGCACCATGTTGGAATAAACCACTTTTAACACTTTTTTCATGGCTATTACATGTCAACTCCATCCATAAAAGCACAGGACACAATATATTTCCTAACATCTCATTTATTGGAAGCACATTGTTGTGCATTTTGCTTCTACGATACAGAACAAAACAAAAGAGTGATACATTACAGGGCTCAATAATATCTGTCCTAGTATAAAGGTTTCATTGCACAAATGTTGACTCTGCAAATAAAGGCAAATTAAATCCTACCTACCGTTAACTAACTCAGGCATTGATAAACTACCGGGATTTCTCGTATTCTATTCTGTCTTTGTCAATGGTTACTGGTCTGGACATAGTGGTAAGCACTACCCTCAATATGGGTGGCACTGACTAAATGCAGTACACTTTGAAATGGAAGCAGCTGAGCAACAGGTTTACAGTGGCTCAAAATGGTTTTCAGCATTTTTTAACACTCTGCATAAATGGATCAATTCTAAAACACTTTAAATTTCGTTTTTTCCCAGAATAAATCTTAATCACTAACATTTCTTTGACACCATCAATGTAAAGGATTAAGTTAGATAGTTTTTTTGTAACACCACAAATTACCATATAGCAATTTAGAACCTGTTAAAGTGAAACACCTTTTACTATTTTTTTCAGTGCCTGAAGCACTCAAGGCTAAATTTAACCTTTCTACAATGTAAAAACAATTTAGGGCACCTTAACTTTTTAAAAATGTTAACATAACTTTAAAGTTAATGGTCAGAATCAATACTACTACAATAACTCATTTACACTTGATGCAATAGTAATGCTATCAAACAAATGCTCAACAATTTGCAAAAGAGTCATGGTCCTCTTTGTAACAATACAGGTTACTATGGCAACAATCAACAGTACATCCTGTTGAAAACACCCTTACTTTAGGTGCCTTAGAATGTACTCCAACTTTTAAAGAATTTACAAACTTTATTCCATCTTAAATTTCTGATGTTCTTAAGGTGGCTCTGTACATTTTCCCTCAAAACTCAGTCTACTTGCTACCAAAATGTTTTTTTCATTAATGTTGTTTTCCTGATATGATCATAAAGCTAAGTTAGATAGATAGGTAGATAGTTTTTTTGTAACACTACAAATTACCATATAGCAGTTTATAACCTGTTAAAGTGAAACACCTTTTACTATTTTTTTCAGTGCTTGAAGCACTCAAGGCTAAATTTAACCTTTCTATAATGTAAAAACAATTTAGGGCACCTTAAATTTTTAAAATGTCAACGGAACTTTAAAGTTAATGGTCAGAATCAATACTACTACAACAACTCATTTACACTTGATGCAATAGTAATGCTATCAAACAAATGCTCAATAATTTGCAAAAGAGTCATGGTCCTTTTTGTAACAGTACAGGTTGCTATGGCAACAGTCAACAGTACATCCTGTTGAAAACACCCTTACTTTAGGTGCCTTAGAATGTACTCCAACTTTTAAAGAATTTACAAACTTTATTCCATCTTAAATTTCTGATGTTCTTAAGGTGGCTCTGTACATTTTTCCTCAAAACTCAGTCTACTTGCTACCAAAATGTTTTTTTCATTAATGTTGTTTTCCTGATATGATCATAATGCTAAGCTGAATGCAAGAGGTCTTCATGGGTCCATTTCTATCAGACCTTTACCGCACTTCTAGGATGCGTGTATTCATCTGTATTGAGGTCAATCAAATCAGAAAGATCCCAAATCTCTCAGGATCCCTAGAGGGGGTTAGGTATTTGATCGGGTTTTTCCTAACTTTGGACACCCTCTTTGCCACATCAATAAGAAAATCAGAAGAAAACTGCTGGAAAAGATTCTGAGCAGGAATGAAATAGTTAGGTAGATATTGTGCCACAAGAAAATGGAGCAAGTCATCCAATAAATCTAGCAGATGTTTCACAAAATTGTCAGCTTTCCAGTGCGACAGTGGAAGCCTCTCTGCTGCAAGCAGAACGATTGTCTGCATGTGATATGACTTCAGCAGCTGTGGCCTGTCAAAATGCATCTCACAGAGAAACTTTAACATGCGCAGACAATCAGTCAGCACTGGGTTATCCTCATTCAGTTTGTTTAGCAGGATGTTTTCAGCTCTTGCAAATGAGTACTGGAAAAACAGGCCATACAGTGGGTCTTCTTTGCTGAGAGTAGGTGGTTGTTTTGGTACCAAATGGCAGCCATAACTTATGACATCGTTGACAGTGTCACTATTAGGCCAATACCTTTGCCGACCTCCCCATTCTGCTGCACACAAAGGCCAGTGGATGTGACGCAGTGATAACACATAGTCAGCAGTAAGATAATTGTGTAAGTAGTGTACTGTAACTGCTGGACCATTCTCTTCAATTTTCCTAATAGTGATACCTTCTTGTTTCAGTTTTTCCTTTGTTAAATTCTCCCCTTTTGCCTCAAGAATCCTGTACCTGATGTTCATGTGTACAAATGACAACAAAATGGGATAAAAGAAATTTGCTTTCAATATTTCAGCAGATAGATAAAATTGCATCTTTCCTCCGACAAATTGAGACTTTAAAGGCACAAAGCAGAAATTCCACTCTTCAAGATCTGCTGGGATTTTCTCCAACCAGGGTCCAATTACAGTAAAACCTGGAAAATGCATTTTGCTGCCATGATCTGGTACCATTTGAAAAATAAACTTTTTGAGTACCAAATGATAATCTATTTCAGGTTGAGCATGGATAAACGGAGCATTGATTCCACCTTTGTTGTATGCAGGAACAACTCTTAGTTGTCGTTCCATGCTTCCTGTTCTTAGAAATTTGTAAGTGTAGACACGAGGGACATGATTGAGTATCTCAAAGACACCAGCTTCTCTTAGTTTTGACTCTTCTAGGAGTTCGTTAAGCAGGCCAACCACTTTCGCATCATACATGTTGTGAACACCTAGCTCTATCAGACTCCAATGTATATCATGCAAGTCTTGTCCTGACACAGGGTCAGTTCCAGCTTGCTGATAGTGGAATGGCTTCTGGGAAGACTGTTGTGTGCTCTCAGGCTCTGATTGCTTGATAAGATCGGGCTGCTGGAAAGGTGTTGGAATTGTTAAGTACTTAATTTCGTCTTCTCCCATGCTCTTGATCTGCTCTTTCAGGTAAGAGGATATATCGTCTTGCTCTGGTGGAACAGCCTTGAAGGTTTCACTTTGACTTGTTACTTCAAGTAAAGGTTGTGCAGGTAATATCTCCATTTCCTTTTCCTCAATTTCCTTAGAATCTGCTGTTGAAATAGTTTTTGATTCTCTATCTGAATCACATATTTGCCCTCTATCTTTTTGAAGACTAAAGACATCTTCAGCACTCTTAACCTCACATTCCGCCACTTTTCCATTCAATTCAAGCATTTCAACTGCAAATTTTTCCTTCTGCTGATCATCACCAATATCGCATTCCCTGCTCTCCTGAGATAATCCCTTGGGCTTCTCTGTTTCTGTTGCCGCATTCCCCTTTCTATCAGCATCATTATCTGTAGCTTTAGATGTGGTTTCTCCATCAAACAAAGACACACCAGTATTTTTGTCAGTGTTTTCTTTGATACCCTCCATATTTTGCTCAAGTCCTTCTGACTTAAACCCCTTGATATCCTCTCCAAAATTTTCACTTTCTGCCAGGATTTCCCTTCCCTCAACATTTACCTCACTTTGTAACTGTTCAGTAACATTGCAGCCCTCAGTCTCCAGACTTAGCTGTTGCACTTTCGACACCAGAGCGTCCTCTTCTGCACTTCCCACTTCCTTTCTATCTCCATTTTTGGGGACAACATCTTGTTCCTTCAAATTATGACTAAAGAGTTCCAATCTTTCTGATGATGAATCTATGTCTGACGCTAGTCCTTGCAACAAAACTGGAACATCTGTTTCCCCATAGCACTGCATGAGTGCATTCGTGGCACTGGCTGCTGCTCTGTCATCAAAAGGATCACCTATCTGAATCATAGTCACAAGGAGCTCCACTACACCTTGCCCCAGAAGTGCTTCTTGCAAACCTGCAAATCGGCTCATTTTCTCAATACAGTTGGCAATGTCTACAGCGTAAACACCCTGATAATTAAGGTAAGTCTCTCCCGTGCTTACGGACTTTCTGAGAATGTCAACAATGAAATCTATGCAGCTTTCTTCCGCAAGCAAGTACACGCTTGTTTCATCATCGGCAACGCTGGCCGCAATAAACATGACTAAGGATTTGACTAGTGTAGTCAGCTGTTCAAAGGGTCCTTGATAACTAACAAACACGTTAATAAGAATCAACAGGGTATCACTCACGTTGCAAAACAGAGCGGATGTGGCGGGGCTTTTTGACACCTGCCATAAAAACTGAATATTGGCCAGAAGCATCTTAAAATGGTCTGGCTCAGAACTTGGCAATACCAGCACATTCAGATCTTGTAGAACTAGCTGAAGTATTTTGGTTGAGGACAGACTGCTTGCAAATGTTGGACTTGCGACTAGATGTGTAAGAACTTCCGCTACGGCAACATAAAGAGGGCAAAATATGAGCGTTCCAGAAGGACGATTTACTTCCCCTTTCGTCAAACTGGCCACCATTCCACCGTCTGAGGGCAAAAAGTAATAAGAACTGAATAAAAACCGCTGTAAAACAAAATGAACATCAGAATTAGCCAGAGTGTCAGCTACGCTTTTGACCGAAGCTTTGCTTAGACCATCCAAGATGTTCTTTACTTCAAGAAGAGTTGATGCAGATGCTTGCATGCACGACAACTGTAAGGAAAGATCATTCTGAGGAAGTGAGCTCTGTGCTTGTAAAGTATCCTTAAGTTTGCGTATGATGCGTTCCGAAATGAATCTGTCTGCTAAATCGTTTTCCATTGTGATATTGCGCAGTTTTCCCACGGAGATCGCGTTTAATTTGTATCGCAGCGTCACTTTTCGAGCGCTTATACTCAGCGTAGAGTTTCCGGAGTTGTTCTTTGTCTCAAAATTTAGTTGAAGAAGTCATTAACATCCTTTTAACTCGCCTGCGTCGCCTTGTGATCTCCTCAGCTAAAGGAAGGAAACCGAACGAGTTTCTTCCCAGTGAGAGAACCTCCCAAACGAAAACTTGTGTCCAGATCTCCTCATCACTTTGTAAAGACGGGAATGGATAGGATCCTAGGATCGCGGCTGCGGATAACGGATCAACTTCATGCGAATCCTCCTTCCTTCTATTTATATTCTCGCGGATTTTCTAGAGTCGAAAAGTTATAAGTACAGGGAAACATCTGAAATGTACACTCAGTTAAAGGCTTTTATTCCCAAAATGTGCAACCTCTTTTGCAAAGAAATTCCAGATTTCAAAAAACATTGCATGAAACGAGTAACACATTGTTTTTTACAGGGTCTTGGCAATTTCAAAAAAGAAAACACACAAGCTAGCTACATTATTGCCCAAATTCCTCTTAAATCAAAGTCTTTGGAATTCAATCCTTATCTCTCCACAAAGGCTAGGAAAACAATAAACCTAAACCCAACCTCCACCCACTTTCAACAACTATCCCCGTTCTGTTTAATTGCTAGGCGGTGAACAAAATAGTAAGGACTGGAGGCAGTTAACAATCTCGCAAGGCAGAAAAAACCTCAAATCACATTTTTTACCACTGTGAGAGAAGGCAATTCTTGATAAGGCATTTTTGTGGGTCTCGTCAAGGAGTCAAGGGATCTTTTGGTTCCAAATTGATTTAATATCAATTCACAGCAAAACTCTATTCAACAATAAGAATGGTGGAAAACACATTATTCACAAAGCGTTCCAAGTTCCACATGACCTGACGTCACACTGTAATGCTATACATGTCCACAACAACCACAATCTTTTGCAAGCCATGCTAATGACAATGCCACAAGGGTAGGGAGGGAAAATGAAACAAAGCTCATTTTTATGCCAACCCATCCCCAGTCCCCTTAGTAGTATTTCAACATTGCTCTTTTTAAAACTGTCTGTTTTTTTTCGTTTTCTAGCTATACTTTAATAAATACCGTAATTGAACGTGATTTTTCTAAGTTAACAAGCTGAAAATTAAGCCCAGATACCTGGCTATGAGGTGCAGCCGCAATTTTTGGTGATGTTCACCTTAAGTACAACATGCTTTCCAAAGATGCTTTATGTATACTATACGTTTCAGTTTTTATTATTCTGATTTTATTTTCTATGCAATGCAAGACATTAGTGCACATCATTGAAACATTATAAGAAATTCGAATATCAACACTAAGTTTGAAAAAATAATTTCAATTATTTGCATAAAACTGCAAGTCATGTAGCGTATTAATATTATTAACAATATTCAAGAGAAGTGCAACCTGCCATCCATCTATTTTTGCTTTTAAGAGTACAAAAACTGTGATATCACCTGAAATGTTCATATAAACTGGAAGTTATTAAACCAGATGTTCACTAGGAACGGTGGGATGCATACCACCTGTGAATCAACATGCCTTACGCTTGATCACATGAAGCATGCTTGTCCATAACTGTTCATCAAATCATTATCAATATCATACATCCTGTATGGAAATCTAATTGTTGAAACATCACATCAACAATGAAAAACACCCAGGCAGAGGATCAATGGCAAATGCCTCACAGCCTGACAAAACGGGGGTACCCAACGTCAATTTTCGGAAAATATCTGTTCGGAAGACGATTTGAGATCTAGAATTTTCGGAACATTTTAAAAAATGGTGTAATTGTCCATTTTTAACGGATTTTTACTCTAAAAAGGTCACCTACAATTTTCGGGAGCCTTTTTTCCGGCTGAAATTTTCAAAAGGTAAGTTTTGATCCCTATGATTTTCAGATCACTAGACTGTCAGCTAGGAAATCCGAACAGATGAAAAACTTTTAGGGGATAAAAATATGCCTATATCTACTGTTTAAATACTAAAATACATTTACAATGTTATGTTTAAAGTGGTTTTGAACTAATTCTCGTTGGGTGCCCCTATAAACATAATTAATGCCTAACAAAATGCCCTGGTGGATGTCCCATAAGTAAGTAAATAATATTTTTATTGTTCCAAATATACCAGTTCTGATGCTTGCATGGCAGTTAGTATTTTAAACATAATCTGGTATCCAACACTTACTTAGTTTTTGCTTCTCCTTCACAGAGTGAAGTTGCCACGCTGGAGCCAGGTTGACTGATGTAAAAATCTAGGTCTGGGTCATCTGAATTTTTGGGATCTATAATACACTCGTGCTCATGTCCCCAAATTACAAGGTTAAGAAAGTTGCTGAGGAACTTCTCTGGAATGTAGTTTGTTGCACTATGCTTAACCCTGATGATTACAAAAATAGTAATATATTAAGTTATTAAAAAGCAATGGACTTTAAAGTGAAACTAATAACAGGGGAGATCAAGAAAAAAAGCAAACAATTTGGTGCTGCTGGAAGTTTGAATCCTGACCCTGTTGGAGACTAAAAAGAAAGCTAATTAAATATTTGTCCTGTAAAAAACAAACCAAACGAAATTTATTTAGACCTTTGAAATAAAGCTGACCTGTATTATTAAGGGACACAAGTTTCTGAACTTAAGAAAGTGACAGCTTAATAGAAGGAGATGCTTAATGCAGGTTTGACTGTTTTTAAAATTCGTGTTTACCTATTTTGATGAAGCACAAATACATTGCACCAGGAATCGGGATTTTCCTTGGGCCTGAGCATTTTCACATTCCCATTGAGAAATGTTCGGTGAAGACGCTCATCTCTGATAGATCCTAAACCATAAAGGGCCAGTTTTACACGTTCTTTCTGAATCAAGATGGGTGACACTGTGATGTCATCAATAGACGTCGCTCTTCCAAAGTAGTTGACAAATCCACAGACACTAAGTAAGTCCAGTGCACAAAGGTTTCCATCCTAAACAAGACATTTTTAGGACACAGGAATTAAATGTAAAATGCTAGCTTTAGTGACATACAGGTATGTATTATCACTGATATAACAACTCCTGCGCAAGACTATACCTGGGCCCAGAAAATTATTATGCTCAGACTTCTTATCACAAGGACCCTGGGCCTCAGCTATTAACCCTTTGAGACTCAATATCCATATACAGATTCTCCAGACTGATCTCCATACATTTCATTATAGAATGTGTTGAAAGAATTTGATAAAAGATCAAGTTTCCCGTACATGATCACATTATTAATTCTCCAAACCTTTTCTTTTGATTATGTATTGATACTGTTAGGAGATTAGAAAATTGGTATTAGTCGCTTTTGGGGTTAACTTACTATTACTCTAACAGTAACCCCATAGCTAGTTACTTCAAAAAAGGTACTTTATCCTTTTTTATCCTCAATCAGAGGATAGTTTAGTAGACGTTTATCTTCAAGAACATTTAAGAATCTTTCAGAGTATATTATTAATTCTCACCCCAGCTGGATCATCGTGATTTCCATGAATTGAGAAGACTGGAATGGATATGTTAAGGTTAGGATCCTCATAATTTACCACAGGAAAACTGATAAAAGAAAACGGATACTAATATTAATAATATTTTAATTATAAAGTCAAAACAGGAATTTCAAATGGGCAGTTTTGAATTAGTAAAATTCATACTTAGTGCCAAGGGTGAGAAGAATAAAACAAACAAAATTGCATCACCATTCACAAAATTGCATCACAATTCTGTTGCTTTATTCCCCTTAGCCTTGGAGCCAAGTATGAATTTTAATAATTCGAAACTGGCCTATTTAAATGCAAAAAAGGACAATTCCACAGGCCGGTGCCCTAGCAGTTTCCTGTGATCCCTGCCTGGTGTCCTAATTTTGGTCTTGGGTCTCTAGAAAACCTCAGTTTTTTCATATGCTAGGCACCCTGGATTTCACAGGTTCAGAGCAGTGAGCTCCCTTTGATGTTATTTTCTTAGAACACAGCCTTGTTCCAAGTTTGTTGACAAATCATACTAACCGAGAATTGGAGAAGTTCAAGGACTGGTCACTAAGAAATTCTAACTGGCAAGGTTTGTCACCCATGCAGTATTTCCTGAATAAAGCCAATGTGTTGTGTAAGGTTTTTCTTGAAGGTTTGTTTTCATGAAAAAGATCCCCTCCAAGAAGAATAAAATCAACCTGTTGAAAAAAAAGCCAAAAATTATAACAAAATGACTAAATTATTATTTATTACTTTGTTGACAGAGCTGATCTCTTGCTTGAGATCAGCCCTCAAACATAACTTCATGCATACAAGCTTTTGGTCAAAGCTTTGCCGTAAGGAAAATTGAAGGGAGGTCAGTGCTCTGAGCCTGTGAAATCTTGGGTGCCCAGCATTTGATTTTAAGGAAAAAGCTAAGATTTTCTAGTTGCCCAAGAGTACAAGTTGGACACCAGGGGCCACCAGGCACCGCTAGAGCACTGCCCTGTGTTGGTGCGAGGAGTTTTGAGAACAAGCATTAGTTATGTTTACTTAAAGTGCATATCACCCAAATGTGGCAAAATTTTGACAACTTCTACGCGCTTTCAGCTTTCAAATGCAGTGCAATTTGCGTGAATTGGATAAAACTAATGGCCTCCATGCTCGGTTAAAAAATACAAAATTTGCCTATTTGAGCAGCTTTTGGTCAGAAGACCATGTGAATAGGGTCGACTGAAACAGCTACATATTTTGAGGCATTGTTCTTAACTCCCCCTGCTTTGTTGTGGCTTCTGCCTTTAATAACTTCTCTTCCATACCTCTCTTGAATAAACTAAATAAAATTATTACATTCTCATTTGTCAGAATTGACAATAGACAGGCTTTCCAAGTGAGATCTGTTTAGACGGGAAGCTGGTGGTTCAACTAGGACTAAGCAACAAATGACAGCAACAAGAACGGCAAAGAAACTGGTTTGGATTAGCAAAACAACGATTTTGCACATGCATCACGCTTCTTTTGTACATTTCCTTGCCGTCGTTGCATGACAATGACGTGAAACTTCCTTATTTCACGTTTTGTGGACAGTGTGCAAAGAAAGTAGTGTCTCATAGCCCAGGGCTAGTGGATTTTGCTATTGGGTTAGTGTGTTCTGTTTTTAAGTTGCCTGATGCGCCATTGAAGTTTTTCGGGGAAATCAAATCACAAAGAACTGTAATCAAACCTGCTCATCATGCTACAGGTAGTTGAAATGACTTTTGGGCTATTACATGCTAGCTTCAGCTTGCCCAAATGGCAAGCTGTAAAACTCCCTTTCTTTTCATCCTGGTGGAGGAAGTAGGCACAAGACAACGACTTTCTAATTCTTTTTTAAACCACAATACAGACCTTTAGATTATAACTTTAGAAAAATTCACCAACATTTACCAAATTGGACAAGATGTAACATGGAAAAAGAGTGTTGAATGTTGAAACAGCATGGATTAAGTTTTTAACCATTCCCAACATGCGTGCTGGGTATATAAAGGAGAACAATGCCTCAAAATATGTCACTTGCCCCAGGACCAAAATTTCACAGCCTGAGATATTAATTCTACATATTTAAAAATCTGTAAAAAATTGAGATAATCTTAAATCAAAAACAATCTACTGTATCGTTTATTACAAGTTTCCTGTTTTTATTCTATTCTTTATCAAATTTTGGGTAATATGCATGCAATGATTGGTAATAATTATTGGTAATGATTGCCTTTGGAAACAGTCAGTTATAACTGACATTTTATTGGTTTTGATTGAGGCCACTTTAATAGAACTAACTTGTTCTTGACAACACAGCGAGTCCAAACCTTGCTAAACTGACAAAAAAGGGCATCTTAATGTACAAAAACTAGTGTTACATAATTGTGTGACGAGACCTTCATATACGATCTATCATTATACCACCCAAATTATCCCAGAAATAGTTTGTCATGAGCCTCTATTCATTCTCCTTATCATTTAAATTGGGGTGGAAAATAACAGCTATCCTCTATCTGCACACTGGCCCTGGCTTTACTTTTGCTTTTAGACAACTAGGACATCTTAGTATTTCATGAAAACAATATACTGGGCACCCTGTACTTCAAAGGTACAGAGCAAAGGATGCATTCAATTTCCTTAACGAACCTTAGGGTCATCCCATGATAAATCTAAAAAAGTTTTCTAGTCTGAAATAAGTCTAGGCTCATTCTCAAGTCATGGGTGTCTCAATATAACCACATTTTCACACCACCAAGATGCCCATGGTAGAAGAATGAGCCTTAGTAGAACAAGTTCTGAGTCTAAGAGAACTAGCAGCACACTTCCTAAAATACTTCAGGGAGTGGCTCTGGAAGCAAATGGCTCCAAAAACTTTCCAATCACTATTTGTGGTACACTAGTACTGTCCCCTTTCTCTTCCAACTATATATTTCGAGTTAGTCCCGTTAGTTGGAGTTGGGCCAGTTTTATAGTCAGTTAAAAAGGTACCCTTTTCTTATGTGCAAAAAACGTTTTCTCTACTTACATCTTTGTCCTTTGCTATTTGCAGTATTTCCTCAAATGTTACGAGTGAGTCATTCCCTCGAACTTGATCTTTTTCCATGTACCCAAGATGACAATCTGTAGCTAAAATGTAAATGCAATGAAAAAGATAAAATTAAAGTGAACTTGACTTCTACATCTACTGGTAATGTGGTATACTCCTGAATGCTTTCGCATCGAAAAGAGATTAACAAAAATTTTAAAAAAAGTAATATAACATCAACTTAAGAATTATAGCTAAGGTAATAACAAAAATTAGAATAATTTTCTACCCTAATAGCAGGGGGATTATGTTCCAATCTTTTATAGTCCTTGGAAAGAAGCTATAGAGGCAATAGTCATCACGAGTGCAGGGTCTGATATACATCAACTGGCTTCTTGTTGCACGCATCGATTGCTGGTAATAATGAGAAACTGGTAAGGTGATTATGTTGTTGTAAACTTGGTAGAATGCACAAAGACGATGGATTTTCCTTCTCCCCTTCAATGGTTCTAAGGACAGCGAATGCAGCATTCCAGTGGTAATGTTTTTGATGAATCATGCTGCTCGTCTCTGGACTGCTTCAATCTTGTCTATTTGATCTTGCCAGTAGGGATCCCATACAGCAGAGGCAAATTCTAAATGAGGTCTGACAAGTGTTACATAGCAGATTGCGTTTGACAAAATGAGGGGTTGAATTAGCTTTTTTCACAATCTTGTGATTATGCAAATTCCACTGTAAATCATCAGATCACAGGATTCTAAGGTAGGGACGTTGCTGAACAAATGAAAGAACCTGGTTAAATGGCTTGTAGCATTTTAGGACTGGTGATCTAGAGTAGTAAACTGACATTTTGTAGCACTTAGAAGGATTAAAAACCATTTGCCAACTTTGTGCCCATCATCCGAGTTTGTCAAGATCACACTGCAAAGCCATGGTGTCAGTCTCACAAGTGATTCTCTGATATACATAGTAGATCATCATCTGCAAATAACCTAAGTGTGAATTCCAGATCCTCCTGTGTATTATTAAAGGAACATTAGAGGACCAAGTATGGTTCCTTGGGGTATTCCAGACATCACAGCTACTGCCTTGGAGATTGATCCGTCCACTACTGACGATAGTTCGTGTTCTGTTGGTCAGCCAAGACTTTATCCATTCCAATGCTTTGCCCTTGATACCATGAAACTTTAGTATGCCCCACCCCCGGGACTTACAAGGCGGGCAAATACCCCGCAGTAGCCCGGGGGGTTGGGGGGCCGGCTCGGCGCAGCTGGAATTGACTGATCCATAAAGGCGGAACTCAAATTTAAACCTGCCTTTTATTTTTAATATAAGACCAGAATCTTTTTGGTTTTTCTTTAAGATCAAAGTTAAGGGTTTTATTCATCCTGGGCTCTTCTTGGCCCGATCTTGAGATTTTTTCTGGAAAGGTATTTCCGTTTGTCATATATAGGCATTCCTTGATCTCAGCCCTTGTGTGGGACCTCTTAAGGTCCTTTGAAATCCACGGAAGATCAGCCCAAGAGCCAATCCTTTTACATGCAACCCTGTGAGTGTGGGTTGACAGATCACATCAGCTTTGTGCCTGCCAGGCCAGACTCTCAACCTGCATAAAATTATGTATAAAGCCTTTAAACTCTCAGCTGCGAAGCTGCGCGCATACAACGCAAGCCTGCCTTCCAAAAGAAAAAAACACTCACCGACAAGTATTGACATTGTATTTTCAGCTTCATCGTCTTCTAGCCTGTTAATAAAGAAAAGAAGGATAAATAAATTTATTTGCCTCAAACAACACTCGCAGAAATCAAACGAAACTCTACAAGCAGCTCACTCAACCGCCATCTTGAATTCCCGCGGTTTTGTGCGAGAATGGCCGCTGACCAAGGAAATGCGACATGTTCGGTTAATCTTCGTGTAGAAACTTTTATTAGCCAAATATAAGCTATATCTGATCTTAATAAGCTTTTAACTGGTCCAGTGAAAAACTATGACCACTTGGAAAACGACATCTGTCTATGTAGAGCTTAAAACTGCAAACTTTCTGCCTAATACTTTCACTACCAAACTTTAGTTGAGCTTCGGAAAGCGTCGCCGATACTTCGTGATTGTTTCGTCACCGTTACTATTGGCTAACAAATTGAACAAACTTCGTTGGGGGCCCCCAGAACGGCACATGCCTGCAGTAGCAAGCGCCATTGTGATTTGAGTGTCATTTGTCTTTGGCTGTGTTTTCCGTTGCTTAAAACCTCTGTTGTCCCTCTTTAACCGATTTGATCTTTGTCCTGGCATCGTCTACGGAACCTCCGGAAGCAAACTGAATTTAATTTAGCCCTAAATGACCGGAGGAGCGTGCATTTTCAGAACCATTCAGGAAAATCACTTGTCGGCGTAAGGTGACTTGAAAGCAACTCTCCATGTTGAATATAAGCTGACGACAGAGATGTAATGGTCCGGTGATCCGTCAGTTTTATCGTACATCAAACATTTTACAACAATGAGCGGTCATAGACCTAGAACGACATCGTTTGCCGAAACAAATAAGTCGCATACGCCAAATTTTGGAGGAGTGAAAATAAGTCGTGAGTATACACTTTTACATTTCATTACCAATAGGTAATATTCAAGGTGTTTAGGGCTGGAAAACCGCCGATAGTGTGGGAGTAGAACATAGTAGAGGAATGATGATAGGCAAATATGACTGTCCTGTTCGTTTTTTAGGCGATAAAGATGGAAGCAAAGTAACAACCGTCGTTGCAACTACAGGCTCCCTGCCCGATCGGACGCAAGAGATCAGTTATACTGACACGAAAGTTATTGGGAATGGTTCTTTCGGAGTTGTATATCAGGCACGGATGTGTGATTCCTCGGAGCTTGTGGCTATAAAGAAAGTCTTGCAAGACAAACGTTTTAAGGTATTTTTACTTTTGCTTTTTAGACTGACCACAATATATATATGTATGCCCGTTTCGGTGTGACGTTTTCGTTTTCGTAATGCCGAAATTCGCTTCAATACTGGCAACATTAAACTTTTCTTTCAGAATCGTGAGCTTCAAATCATGAGAAAATTAGACCACTGCAATATCGTCAGGTTACGATGGTTCTTTTATTCCAGCGGCGAAAAGGTTAGTAAGAGAGAGAGAATAACTATAAACTTTTTTCTGCATTACTCTAAAACTCTAGCTACGAACTTATAACGCTACAGCAAAACGTAGTCAACTTAACTCGGACGATTTCCGGCCAATAAAGTACAACAAACAACTTTGGCCTACGTGGGTGTACGAACACTGATTGCTTTAATTCAGTAAAACTAGCATTCTATTCACTGTAGTATATGAGACCAACTGCCTACATGATTGTGTTAACGACGTGGAAACAAGATCGAAGGAAGTGTCGCTCGAAATGTATTATTTTTTTGTTGAAATGTACACTCCTTCTGAGGTGAAAACAAATTTTGCTATTTTAGGCAACATAACTTTCACCACAGAGAAACGGATATACTTTCACTTTTTTCTCTCAGTCACATCTGAGATTTTAGTTAGCTTCACCTGTATGGAAATTTTTAAGGCGAATTTTTTTTCTTTGGAAACCATCGGATTTGTTGTAATTTCAGAATAGCCAAATTTTTTGCTTCATTGAAATTTTTTCTTAGTCCAGTGTGATCTAGAAAGGATTTAAAATCTTTCTGACATCACATTTGTTGAGCAGGCTGAAGTGGTATCTTTGCCACTTATGTCTTTGTAACATTATATTTCCCTAAAACAGAAAAACTGATATATTTCAAGATTCTAGAAAATGCCCTTTGCCCCACGAATCCATGGTCAGTTTTTCAGTCTTCATGTTAATTTTTCATCTGCCTGTTCACTGCAAATTATAGGGAACATTTCTTAATTCGTATGGACAGAATGCCAAATCCAAAGGGAAAGATATTATATAAATACTTCGTTTCAAATAAAATTTGAAAAAACTAGTGGCAAATTTGGTACTGAGATAAACGTTGCTATTATAATGACAGTAATGGGGTTGTTCCCATCAAGTTCAATCCTGCCCTTGTACAAAATCGATTTTTCAATTACTATCGTAGACTACGTACGGTAAATAATGTAAGTTTATAACATAAATAATATTGTACTGGTTTTCTGGTTTGAAGCAGACGTTAACTATGGTTTAATAGGAGTCTGAATTTTATGATATTTTTAATTAGAAAATTGGAAAAATCTTAAAAGTGATGTTATTTACATTACCAATACTACATGGCTATAGGGGGGACAAAAATTGTTAAACATTTTTAGACTTGACCTTTTTAAATTCTCTTGGATGCCTTTTTTTTCCTACATCCCTTTGACCATTAGGTACCACTGTTTTGGAGAATTTTTTTCTCTTTATTGCATCAACATTACACAGCACAGCACTGTGAGTGCTCAGATTGTAATCCCAAGAGTACTTATTTACTCTTTAAAGTCTAGAGTGAGGCACTCACCTGGTTATTCAGATAACCTGTGTGCAGATGTCTCCTATTTCCCAGTTGCTCAAGGAAAAGGGAAGTCTGTGCAATGCTGTTGCTAATCATATTAGAGCCTCACCCTCAGGGTATTTAATTTTGGATAAATTTTAAAATATGTACCACTTATGTCTACACCTTGGTAGCTTGCATTGCAGACATAATATATTGAAACTTGCTTAGTAACACCTGTGAAGCCACACCAAGATCCTTGTTCTGGACCCTGAACAGACTCAACAATTTACTGAAAGTCCTTTTCCCAATTTCCTTTCATCCTGATTGACAAATCCACAAAGGCTTTTTTAACAGGTTAATCTTAGTGCGTACTCAAATCCTGGTGGGCAGGTTAGGGCCCATAACAAGGATTCCGGCACTGTTTCGCAGATGGACTTAACCAGAGTTTAGTCTCATTTGTGGTGCAGGCTATGTCGTGGTTGAAAGGAGACAACTTGAGTCTTATTTCAAGAAGAGCAAATGTTATCCCAGAACATATCTTGAATTGTCTACTCCTGTTGAGAAAGAGATGTTGGATTATTGATTTTGTAATGTTGGATTTTTCAATGCAGCTGTGGCTATCAACATAAAATCTTTCCCAAGCTTTCCTAGTGGTTCATTCAGCATGTTTTCTTTAATCTTCTTCAGCCACTGAACTGTAATTTACATGACAGTTTTACTTTTTTTTGTTGATCTCAAAGTGTTGTGCAATGATTGTAAGTCGAACAGGGAGAACTTTGCGATGAAGCTCTCTGTAGGGACGTTTTTGACCACAATGAATAAAAGGGTGAGGCATGATCATTTGGCAAAGAAACTGATTCATCTGATAGAAGTTTCTTGCCAGGAAAACAGACTCTACTGCCATCTCAAGTGCCTTTACCTTTTTTACTTCTTTGTGACAGATAGTCCTCTATTTATTGCTTTGTAACTGGTTTTCTAGAATTCCCTGACTGAGTTTTCTCAAGTTGGTAGGAAGTCCATTTAATTTCACTTTTGAAGACCTGGGCTTGAAAAAATTTTTTGAGGTCCTTATAGCCGTGGGCTAGCTAGCATTCCTACTTTACTAGCCCAGAGGCTGAGGGCTCTAGACCAGTACTTATTTGTATTGTGAGCCAGTCTTAAGATTTATCTGCTAGGGATGGATATTTGCGACACGTTTGGCAAGACATTACGCCCTTTTCCTTGTAGAACTCTCTACCCATGGCTATTTTGTTTTCCACTGTGGAAGAAACAAAGGTTTTGCTGGGTATCATACTTCTTGTTTTTNGCATGATCATTTGGCAAAGAAACTGATTCATCTGATAGAAGTTTCTTGCCAGGAAAACAGACTCTACTGCCATCTCAAGTGCCTTTACCTTTTTTACTTCTTTGTGACAGATAGTCCTCTATTTATTGCTTTGTAACTGGTTTTCTAGAATTCCCTGACTGAGTTTTCTCAAGTTGGTAGGAAGTCCATTTAATTTCACTTTTGAAGACCTGGGCTTGAAAAAATTTTTTGAGGTCCTTATAGCCGTGGGCTAGCTAGCATTCCTACTTTACTAGCCCAGAGGCTGAGGGCTCTAGACCAGTACTTATTTGTATTGTGAGCCAGTCTTAAGATTTATCTGCTAGGGATGGATATTTGCGACACGTTTGGCAAGACATTACGCCCTTTTCCTTGTAGAACTCTCTACCCATGGCTATTTTGTTTTCCACTGTGGAAGAAACAAAGGTTTTGCTGGGTATCATACTTCTTGTTTTTGGTCTGAATTTCATCTGCAGCAGCTGGCCCATGGACACTCTTCAGCAACACCATCTACTTTCTTTTCCTGTGTGAAGTCAAAGTTCAAGAGGTTCATTGAAAGAAACAAAACAAAATACATTCGTAACTTCCCACGTGCTACATGTATGTGCCTCTTTGTACATGTCCAAGCCACTTAAGGACCAAAGTGGTTTTCAGACTTCTCCTGTCCACATAGAATGCCTTGCAAATATTCTCTTTGCATACTCACTGATGTACTTGCCTTTGACTCCTTCGTGGCATAGGTGGCAATACAGTACTGACTTTTTATGTACTTAATTTCATAAGAAACGTTTTTTTCTAAATATTTAAATGCAGATCTTGCCAGTTATTTCAACAACTGGGGTTTTAAGCGCCTTCTAGCCCATTGGGCTAGGAAAGTACTTTTTTCCATCAGCCAAACGAAAACTTTCGCTCGCCCCGGAGTCCGGCTAGTGGATTTTTCGAGTCCTGAAGACACTTGTTATAAAATAAAATAATATTGGATGTTCGAAGAATATTGTAGGAGAGGGTTTCTGTCATACACATTAAATTTTACTCTTATATGCATGAGGTTTCTGTCACACAACTCTTCACTTTTTATCACAACCAATCAGAATCTAGCTGAACAGTGCCCATGGTGAGGTGGCCAATCACAGTCCTTTACAAACATGCTTTATTGACTTCCCCCATAGAGGTTTTTCTTTTCCCAAGATCTTGGGAAAACAAGAACGTGATTAGTGACAGTGTTATGCAGATGTCTCATTTCGAGTCGCCTGAGGAGACACCAGCACGTAGGCTAGCCTCAAGATAACATCCTCTTTGTCTCAAATGGACAAAAGCTGTATTATATATCTTTCTGTAGAAACCCAAATTGTATTTGGTTAATGTTGTATGGATATATTTGGCTGTAAATTTCCTCTCACTCTCAACATTTGTTGCTGT